AGTCAATATTATCTATGAACTAAAACAGTAAATTACAGAGATATTTTACAGCCTTACACTGTGCCTTACAAATCCATTTTCTTTTCATGTGTAAGTAGTTCAACATTTCTGTTTCAAAATGCAGGAGATGCATGTTACTATTTTTTAATTTGCCGGCTTTGCTTATTCTCATTTAACTAAGTTATAAACTTTGATTTATATTTATTTACATATGGTAGATATATATTTGTTATATACTCATATATAACCAACATAAATGTTTTTATATGTATATATAGCTATATACACATTTGTATTTATTTTCCTGCCTAACTTTACTACTTGAGATATATATTTATATCTCAAATAGTAATGCTAGGCAGGAAAATAAAGTCCTTTTTGCTCATGTGCCTTACTGTAATAATGCTCTCCTGAAGCATTAGGTCAGCTCTACTATGGCAAACAAGGCTAAAAATAATACTTGAGAATAGTATGGATTGAGGTAAAATGAGCACGAGCAGCTGCCACTAGATGGCAAGACAGGCTCACATTACTTTGCAGGGCTGGGTTTGAGCTGGTTTGGGTTTTTTTTTTCCTTTATATAAGAGGAATATGTAACATTTGTATTTCAAACATGGTGTCGACACTTCTCTCCCATGCCATTCCAAGTTTATCTGGTGATCTGGAGTTGGTGAACGAAGCCAACCACTTGAAAAACTTTTAGAAAACACTAGGCACCACGGAAATAATGTTTAGTGGTAAGCTGCACTGGAAGAGATTTTAACAAATGTGCTGAAAAAAGTAATGTGTTTAAAAGAAAGGGTGCTTCACTTATGTGTGAAAAGGTACAGACAAGTGTTAGAATTTGACTTTTAACAGAATTACCAAATTAAACAAATGAAATGTCTATTGTAGAACAAGCTGCTTCCCCTACAACTCCCAGCAGGGTCTCTCAGGTGAGTTCCTCTAAAGCCACTCACACTCCTCACACAGCCAAACCTTTGCACAGCCACGGAATAGAGGAGCAGAGGACAACTGGGGTTTAATCAAACCTAATTTAAGTGTTTCTCCTAATTGCAGTGCAAAAGCAGCAGCCAGGGTCAGACTCTGGCCAGTGCTGGGTGGCAGGAACTTGGAGAACTTGGAGTGAAAGGTGCCCCTGCCCACGGCTGGGTTTGGAACACGAGTGGCTTTAAGGTACCTTCCAAACAATTCTATGCTGATCTGTTTTAAACTCTGCATTTAGGAGTGCTAAAACTGGAAATTTAACTAAAAGGTAAAAAAAAAAATCCTGTGAAATTGATAGTTTACATTCTGTTTAAAAACTCCAAACACCTCAATGGACACATGCTCCCAAACTTCCCTCTGGCCTCTCCTCATTTTCTTACTAACACCAGCACTGTCCACAAGGATCAAATAAACTGTCTGCAAAAACACAAATGTAGCATCTCTCCAGTTGTTTAGCTGCCTTAAAATATCAGTGAGGAGCAGGATGCAAATGGTCCTCAGTACCTGAAGAGCAGCAGTTGCACCTGCAAGACTGGATGTGGAAACCTGAAAGTCTCTGAATTCTATGACCTGAACCTTTGATCACAAGCAGAAGATTTAACTCACTGTAAATGAGTTTGTGAGAGCCTTGTGTAAAGCTGTGGCTGCTGACATTATATACACCCACTAACATTAGACCCAGAGGTAATTGTTATTTATTATGATCTTATCCAGTCTTTCAGCTGCTCAGTTACTTTGTCAGGGTCAGAGAGGGCTCCAGAACCAGGGACAAAGAGCAGGTCACGCTGATATCCATGACTGGCCATATGAAGAAACTAACAAATGACATGGACTAAAAATGTCTTAAAATTACTCAGAAAATGTCCCACATGACTTTATTTTATTATCACAGTAGCTAAGTGCCTTCCTCATATCTTAGCTGCATTCCAGGATGTTACAGATGGGAAAGCTGGAAAAGGATGAGGTATTTCCAGACTCAGGCTGGGGCTGGTTAGGCATTTCAGACATGTATAAATAAATTCATCTCACCTTTATGCAATCTAGTATGGGTTCATTAGTTCTGTTGCCCAAAGCAGCTTGGGTTTGGGTTATAGTATTTGGAGTTAAGCAGTCCTGTATGGCAGAACTCTTGTGCCCCACACATTGAATTGCTGCTGCTGCTAATGACCCAAGAATGGGTTCACTTTCTGTTTCACACCGAGTTACTTCCAGAGTCTCACTGCTGCTCAGACTGAGAGGAGATGAAGACAAAATGTATATGACCTTAAAGCTACATTCAAACACGAGCAGACCAGTGGAGGAAACTGAGGCACATGCTAACTCCATATAAACACTGACTTTTCAAATTTCCCTTTTGACGCTGCAAACAATTTCCACTGAAAATGAAAAAAACCCACAAACAAACAAAACCCCAAAACCTGATTTATTTGATGACAATAGCTGTGTACAACTCTGCCACCTTCCCTGCACTGTGCTATTTTTCTGAACAGTCAGCACTGCAGTTACAACCACCCCTCACCTGAACTGAAGTATTAAAGTACACCTACAGAGGGACACAAGACAAATTCAGCTGCTGGCTGCAGAACCTCTGCCTCTGTAGATCAGGCATGAAGTGCCACAGGTTGCTAATTAACATCAGTGCTAATGGTCTACCTGCATGAGTAAACCTCATTTTACAAAGAGCAGAGTTTTACCACATACTGTCACAGAAACAACAATTCTCCTGTACTACTCTACCTCCACTATACTGTAGTAGAGGTACACTATATTAGCAGACTGCATTATTTTTTAAAAAATAAATATATTTCTTTTCTTCCATAAAAAATAAATGTCTCAAACATCATGTTAGAGGTTGGCAATGCCAACCAAAAGCAATGCCTGTTGCTGTTTCTTCACTCCCAGCACATTTCCCTCCCTGGACTGTGACATTGCCGTGCTCTGACAAGAACCCACTGCAGCAGCAATGATCCCACCTTGCTTATATCCCTGTGAGTGCTCAGCATCCACCCAAAACACGACTGCAAGAGGGAAGGAATTACTTTAAATCATCCGTGACCGCTGAGTTCTGCGAGCAGAGCTGGCAGGTGCTGGCTGTCAGCAGCTTCAGCTCAGCCCAACCCAAACAACTCCTGAAAGCAACAACAGGGGCACCCTCATCATTCCAGGGTGACCTTCCTGACACATTTCGGGCTAAAGGAATTAAAATGCTAAAGTCTCAGTGCAATAAATACAGACACAAGCGCCTCTCTCCTGCCCAGCCCATGTGGACTGAGTCCGGAGAACAAATATTTTGCTGTCATAATCTGGGAGTGAGGGGCAGGTCTCAGCTCCCCAGAATGAGGGTTGCCAGCTCTCAGACCGAGACAGATGAGCCTGTTGTCTGTGGTTTGTTTTACTCTGAGATCAGAGGAATTGCAGGAGAGGATGGAGGAGCAGCCTGTGCAGGTAAAGGCCTAGCAGAGCAGCAGCGCCCATGAAGGAAGGAGGAGGTTTTCACCAGGAGTTTCCCTTTCTTGCCTGTGATTCCACCTGCCTTTCACAGCAGCAGGGCTGTCTGCACTCACAGCCTCACTGACACACCTCAGCCTCCCACTGGCAGGGAACCCTCTGGATTTTGGCTTAGCTCCCCTCGCTGGGATTGCTCCCAAACACATCAATGCACCCACTGCCACGCCTGATTTCCAAGCTTACATGTATTCTTAAGCACACAGCTACAGCAAGAATTAATAATGCCTTGGAAAATGCTCCTCTTCACTCTCAGGCCTCGTAAAAAGATCAGGGTGATGTTGTGGCTTCAAGTCAGACTCAAGACAGATACTGGCATACAATGAGACTTTACCCACACTCAACTTTCTATCAGATTGTCTTTCTTACATCTTCAAAGATCTGGAGTGGCTAGAAGTCTATTCACACTTCTAAAAACAAAACTCCCACATCCTCCTTCTGCAAAACCTTTAAAATAGTTACTCTCTCCTCTGTACTTCACACACTTGTCCTATCTGTGCCCCTTCCCCATCTTAGTAGTCATCAGAGACAATAACAAAAAAAGTTAATTCCTCTGACATCATAACTGAAGTGGGAGGCTGAAGTAAAAAAAAAAAAAAAAATTAAAAAAAATGTGAAATATTGATATAATCTAAAAATTAAAACAAAAATTTTGTGCAGAAGATCCCACCTAACCAGCTGCTCAAAGCACTAAAAGCAGAAATAAATTAATTAATGAGTTCTGCCAGCTCCCGAGAATTTTGTGACTAGCGGCAGCCAGATATTTTCCACTTCACTTCCAAGTGTCTTTTCATTCATGGATTACAAATCAAGCCTCAGTTTGCCCCTGTGGAGGAAAACAACTGAGTTTTGGTGGGGAGGAGATATAAGCCCAGCCTGGGAGCAGTGCAGCCAGGTCACAAACACCACGCTGAGCTTGCACTAAAATGTCATTTCTCCCACCATCATATCCTGTGCTGCCACTGCTCAAAGTGCTAAATGTCTGTTCAGCTCCAGGTAGGACAAACCTGAACAGAAGCAGCACATGGTCTAAATCCCTGACTTCACCTTTTTAGGCACTGGGGTTGAGGCCTTCAAGGTGCAGGGCAATGCTCAGTGGGACACTCTGCATTGCCCAGGCTGAATTCCCACCGAAGCTCAGGAATCTGGCCCATGGCTTTAGCACAGAGCTGAACACAACCAGCAACGTTCTAACTTTAAAATCTCCAAGGAATGTTATGTATATTAACATAAGAAATTATTTTAATATTGTACTCAAGCATTTTCAATCTCTGCTAAAAACCTGGCACCATTTCTTGTTCTGTGCTCTACTACTTCATAAATTAAATATTCGTCAGTCAGGTCCCTTCCTTCCCACCTGTCCACTTCTGTTTAAAAATAAACTCTCAAATATTTTACCACACAGTGAGACATAGTTCAGAACAGGACCTTTTCTACAGACTTGCAAACAGTATTACAGAGGATTTTCTATCCTAAAATTCCTGTAATCATAATTTTTTTCTGAATACCTGAAAAAACCCCGGTGGTACTGGACCTACTGGCATGCCATCTCCTGGGGGAATGTTTCCTAGCACTGGGCTGGGAGCTGCTGCAGCACTCTGAAAAGAACAAAGGGAGAATAAACCTTTGTCATTGCATGGTAGGCATTAAACTCCCCCCAAAAAAACCCCAAACCTGACCAAAGTGCAGAAAGTAATTCTCTGGATATGTCATTATGCCATTGTTTCATCTGAAAGTAAATTAAAATTGTTCAGCCTTTTGTCTATACAAGTACCATGATTTGTTGAAATAACAAATGTATTTTGAGGGGAAGGGTGCCAGAGATTGCACAGGCCAATTAGACTAAGTGAATTTAAAAAATTTTGTATCTTGAGTGTCTCTACATGCACCAATGTGAATGCAACTTGCATACTTCTTGTCTTATATGTATGAACAGTCTCACACATGCACAAGGATATACAAAGAGCATAAAGAAAGTAATTTATGCATTTTATCAGCAATTTCTAAGCACTTTAAAGATAATTTCAGCAGCCCATAATATTTTTCCAGAACAACAACAAGCTTCAAAACAGGGCTCTGTTATAAACAGCACAAGAAGGGATGCTCATGATTCTGCTGGTAATGCTCAAGATTTTACCAACCCCAAAAATAACCTCCATGACAAATTAGAAGAATTCAGGTTACGTTTTTGGAAGGGAAAAGAAAAAAGGGATTTCTAAGGAGTGAATCAGAGGATGAAATTAGTTACCTTTGCAAATCCTTCAGCTGGAATAAGTGAGTAAAGAATATTGCTCCTGGCAATTTACATGCAGGAGATTGTCACAGAAAAGAGAAGCCAAACTGCTTCTGTTGTCATGTGTTGCAACCTCAATTACTTTTAATTTGTAGCATTCTTCCTTCCTACAATGTGTTTCTGTACAGTGTGAGGCTGAATCACCTACAAATGCTCAAAATCTTGGGTGAAAGGACTGGAGCACACAGAATGCTCCCACAGCCACTGGCAGGTTACTAATGGCCTGCCAAAGCCTGCCCTGCAAAACACACAGATATTAAATTATCACTCTATTTATTGTGCACTCACACTCGATACCCTAAAGATGCAGATCTGGAAATTGTATTTCCAGGTGTTTGGCACAATACCTAGGAAAGGAAAGAATGATGCTGGAAAGATCTGAAAACTGGCACAAAAGGAGGGATGACCTTTTTCAACCAAGCAGAAAAGAAACATTCAGTTAATCACCACAGATTTCTTCATGGCTTAAGCTGTGTTTTAGAATTAAAGTTCTGAGCAACTAGCAGTAACATATTTAGCATCCAGGCTCAATGTTCCTTGGAAAAGTCTGGAATGTATCACTGAAATATAAAGTCTGCAAAAGATGCTGGATTTCAAAATGAGTGCAAGGCTTTGATTCATGAAAAAATCCTCTAATAAAGGGTATTATCTATGCAAGGATCAGTGCTGAAACACTGTGGAATTGCAGCTGACAGGGAAAGCCAGCCAGGTGAGCTGGATGCAGCAAACACTTTGGAATTATAACCACAAATCATGCAGGGAGAGGCCACCACAAAGCAGCCAGAACAGCCAGGGAAGCTGTGGCCAAAAAAGGTGGTGCTCTACCAGCCACTGCCACTCATGTCAAATAATTATTTTCGTCTCACCTCCATTTCCAAAGGAAAACAGGGGAAAAAGCTGTTGGTTTGCTGCTGCTTGGGTTTTTTTTTTTTTTAAGGAAATATGAGCTCTTTAAGCATCAATGTGCAATAAACCCATGAGAGGCACAGTCTGAGTGGGGCATGCTGGATGCACTAATACAGGTGCAGGTTTTCTGGATGAAGGATGACAACAGCAGCACCAGTGATGGGAGAAAATCAATGATGTTAAAAGCCTGAGCATCTCCAAATGCCCCAAAGAGCCTGAGCTGCAGTGGCTGACCAGGGAGGAGCAGCCCATTAAAGGGGCACTGCTGGGTTTTATTTCAGCACCACGTGCCACTGGCCATGGGATGTGTCCCCCTGCCAGGTCCTTGGGGTCACAGGGGAGGGAACAGCCCCTTGGGATGAAGAGCTCCCTCAAGGATACAGCACCCTGCTGCTGAGAGCTCATGCTCTTCCCCACTTTGAAAATTATTCTTTAAAAAAAACACCAGCAAATTTAGTTTAAAAAGAGAGGGGGAGGGAGAAATAATGACTATTCCAGAATGAACAGAGAAAAGGATTAAAGTTATAACTGTTAGCCATCTGCTGGCCTAAAAAGGCTTTGTAAGAAATACACCTAAAAATAACACTTTCATAATTGACTCACAGAGGTGGGGTTTTCCCCCTGTTTCTGTATCTCCCCTGGCACTGACACCAGAGGAACCCAGCCCTGCTCCTGGTGAATCACTAGGAACTGGCAGGGAGGGACTCGATGTGCTGTAGGTTTGATTTTTAGTGGATTTTTAGTGGATTTCAGTGGATTTTCAGTGTCTGGCCCTCCCAGGTCCCACCAGCTTGGCAAGCCCCCTGCTCTGCCCCTGTGAGAGGGAAGGGAGAACTCAGAGTCTCATGGCCACAGCAGCAGGGCAGTGCTTCTGACAGCTGCAGTGCTGTTCCACAACCCTCAGAATTCTGCAGTTACACTCTCAGTGTTACAGAAACCTCCCTTTCTACCCTTCATTATGCAATGCACTAGGGTTTTTTTCTGTTTTCATGTTTGTTTGGGATTTTCTTCCCTGATGGGCAATGAAGTCCCAAAGCCAGAAATAAAGTATTTTCAGTGTTTTGGGTATATTACATTTTCTAGCTTGTGCTAAGTAATGAATCTTTTAAGAACTTCTACCAGGTAGATCAATAAACAAACCTGCAACTGCTGCATGGAAATATTCTTATTTATTCTATCCTGATGAATTATTCATTCTTTTTCCACAGTCCCATAGCAAACCATGGCCTCCTTTTGCATGCGTTACAAGTTGTTCATCATTTATACTTCCATTAGTTTGACATTTTAAATATTTGCAAATTGCTTTCCCAGCTTTTCATAAAAAGATGAAATCGGAAAATTTAGATGGTATAAACTCCTTGTACAGTAGCTTACCTCCTTAAAAATGGAAATCTGTATTTGCTTTTGTAGCTAAAATAATGAATTTATACTAATGAATTTATAATAATTTACACTTATTAATTAAAACTGTACTTGAGTGAAAGTTATTATGGTCATTCCTTCTCTACCCAAGCTACTCTTGGCAATGCAAAAATAGATTATTATAGTAACTCATAAAACTAGCTAAGGTTTAGGATAGATTTTATAATAAAGAAATCCCAAAGTAAATAAAAGGTAAAGAAAAATAATTTAGCTATTCTTCTAGTACATTATCTGAAGCATTAAAATCCAGAGATAAACCTGCAATGCTCATTTTTTGAGGCCATCCCAAGAAGTGACTGATGAGGGAAGCTTACAAAGAATTTCACTTGGAACCAAAAAATACTACAAAGAAATTACTTGACTTTATAAAAACCTTCACCTGGCTCTTTCCTTCACCAAGACATTCAGTTTCAGGTACTTTGCTTACACTAAAACTTCCTTATTTTAATTCAACGTTTACCACATGTTACTAAATTTGTCCACTCAGGGGGGAGTTCTGTTTTTAAGAAGTCTCACTGATGGGAAATGATGTAATCTACTGGATGATGGAGGGGAGGAGTTGGACCCTACAAATAAAAATGTTAAGACACCCAGTTGCCTCATCCCCTCACCCTTCTCCATGTCAGCCCTAAATCTACTCTTATAATTTAGGATTATTATATTTTCATACATTCCTACAAGCAACCGAAGCATGGCATCTCCAGACAAAGATATTCTGCCATGGGAGGTACAGACACAATCAGCTGAACTAGAGCAGAAAGGATCAACATCTCAGAGTATTTTTATATACACTGGTATTGGGCTAATGAAGCAAACTGAACAGTGAATGTGGAATGTGAAGGACAATGCAGGAAACCACAACCATGTTTGAAATGCTGGTGAGAGCAGCACAGTCAGAAGGAAAAGCAGAAAATATCAAAACTTAAACAATTGCTGCTTTCTTTTTTTTTTTCTTTTCTCCTTTTCTGGGGGCAGGGGATAAATATTTGGTACATTAACTTAGGAAATTATGGGAAGTAAGGAATTTAAATGTAGTTCTAGGTTGCTGGGGGTTTTTTTTCTGGAAAGACAAATGATGGATAATTACTATTTCCAGTCATACTACCACAAGTTTAATTTCTGGTCATTGATAGCTTTGAGTGCCAGGCATACTGCAGCCAGTACCATAAAAAAACACCAAATTTCATTTTGTAAACACTTCAACTTGTAATTTACCAAGTCTTTCTAAGACACCAGCTGGTTCCTGTAACAGACCTGCCCTATTTGCACCCATCACAAAATAAAGAAGTATTAAAGGAACTACATTGACTAACCACTAGCAACCTCGTTGTTTTCTTCAAGATGGAACATAAAACTACTCATCACTCTGAACAACAAAATAAATAACATTTCAAATACTTTAAATAAGTCTGTGTGCCTTTTACAAAGCCTTTGAACACGTGGCTGTACACCAAGGAACCAAAACCCCCAGATTAAGCAGCCTTGGTTTACTCAACACAGACTGGAAGGTCATGCCCAAAAAAGGTGGATTCATCACACTGAAAGAGGCAGGTAATTCAAAAGATCTGGATCATGAGACCTAATTAAACCCTGGCGTAGCTCCACTGATATATATTTGTCTAAACTGCTTAATTTGTGTTGTGTAACAGGGAGGCATTCACGTGACCGCACAAGTCTAAGAACTGTAATTGTGGAAGGTCATTCCTTACAATTTCTCAGTTTTCCTCCAATCCCAGCTCCCTATGGTTTCATCTGGATTCTGCTATTTTATTTCTCTTCATTCCATCTTATTTATGGGTAATAAAGAACAATAAAAATAACGATGCCATCAGTGTAGATATTAAAAAAACTACATTTGATCCTTTTTCTCGAGAACACAAAAAGGGTTGCACCAGCAGACGTGGTCAGTTAGGGAAGGAAGATCTGTTGTTGTTGATGATGGTGATGATGATGATGAAGGTGCCCTCTGAGACTTCA